GTAAATTTTGAAAAGGGGTCATTTGACCCCGCTTGGTACGTTTAGCGTTAATTGACAACGTACATTAAATTGAATCTAGAATTATAAATAATAAAATATGTGACTTATCGGATTCTTTTTACTGTAATCTTCAAAAAGATTTGATAAGTAACTAAGCAGAAATTTACCGTAGTCGGTTCGTCTCCAAAAAAGAAGGGCTTGTCGGCGAGTATGTCAGAAAGAACTTTGAGATCGGCGCAACCGAATTGGGACACCTCTTCTGGAGTATGTACACCCATGCCTTGCGCCTTCACTTTCTTTGCACCCTGGAACAAGTACTCGTTGTACTGATTCAAATATTTCAAATATTATATTTCATATAATTATATCGATCTTGTTCTATTAACTCAAACATGCCCAAGATATTTACTTTTTATAAAGTTTATCTTCCCTATTTGGAATTAAAAATTGGACATATTCACTGAATTTTTATATTATTACATTCTCCTATTTTTAGAAACAGACTATAACCAAAGAATATATTGGTTAGAACAAATAATATCTAAAAAAAAAAAAAAAGAAAATTACTGAATATAATAAAATTATTTTCAAATGATGTTGGACATGTCTGACTTAATTATTACATGCTTAGAAAATTGTTCTCATGTGCTACATCTAAATATAATCACCGCCTAAGATAATTTCTCGCCTCATTTGAGAATTTTTATTAATTATCAAAAACTATCTAAATAAACTAAAAGAGCACAGTAATCACTAACACTGAATGTTACGAAGTAAAGAAATAATATTTTCGACAGTGACAGCAAATGAAAGAATAGATATTCACCTTACGTCCGAATGTAAGCTTGAAGAAGAAGTTGAGAATACCATTAGGGATGCGAGTGCCGAGCGCGTGCTGCAGGTTCACCTTGTAACCTTTTAGAACCTGATCGAGATTCTTGATACGCCAGCACATGACCACCCAGACCAGATGGTTCTCGATCATCGATATCATTGCGTGAGAAACGCTTCGTTGCTCGGACGTAAGAGCAGCATCCAAATCCTTGCCAAATTTCGCGCTCAACTCGCGAAGGATTATTGTGCTGTCCGCGATTTCTTCGCCGTTTAATTCGACGAACGGCAGTGCACCCTTTTTAGAGCGGAACTTCATCTTATGGTCCACATTCTGAAACGAACGGAAAAATGAAACGTTAGATCCTTTTCTTTCATTGTAATTATCCGTCTATTATGTCACTGAAAAGAAATTTTGTTTTTCTTTTTAAAGATACGTAAATTTGAAATTTACAGTGAGAAGGAAATATACTTTAACTTTCAATCGATGAGAATAAGTACATTGAAGTAAAAATATTAATAAATAATCAGTTGCTGTCATTCGTGATTGTGTTCCCATCACTTTTGGCAAGTTTGAAAATTTTCTGTCAACTTTTTTGCAAAAATATTATTTTTATATTATATACAGTGCACAGAGTAATAAAAATTTGTTGAGTAATACAAATTGTTCCTCTTAAGGTAGACACGATTTACATTGAATATTTGGTAAGCAATGTTTGAAAGCGCGTATACGCGTGGGATTGGAAGCCTTTGCGATACAAACGGTGGATTTACAGGACAAAAAAAAAAAAAAAAATGGAAAAAGTAAAAGAACACCAAGGGGCTTCGATAGCTTCACGGCTAAGGCCCTTGGTTACTGGCGCTAGTTGATTCCAGTTTGAATTCCAATTCAAACGAAGATATTCTCCTTTCATAAAGAAAATTGTACTATTTCTCTTCGTTTATATCTATTTGTTAGATTTAAATATTTGCATTAATATACGCGCTCTATTTATGTGCGTCAACACCACACACAGGCTACCCTCCATCGGTCAATAAGATATCTAGTGTCCTTTACAGGTGGATCATATTGCAAAACAGTATTGATAGCGATACAGGTCTGCGAAAGATTTCAATGCATTATAATTACGATTTTCGATGAAATTCGATAAGCTTCAGAAATAGTGAATGTACTTTATAGATATGAATTAAAATTCCAGGGAGTGAAACTTTGATTCTGATGTGTACTAAGGTATAGGAAAGAATGAATCGACAGAATTGAAAATTAATACGCATACTGTGTACTTTCTTGAAACTCCGTTTACAATGGTACAATTTAAAATACTGTCAATGGGTATAACATTTATATTGCCGGAGATTTCACCTGGGTACACAGGAGACTTTCTAGCTATTTGCTGGCCATCTGTTAGCACATTTTATTGTGAATGAACTTGTGGCCTAGAATCTCTCGATTTACAACTTTCTGCAAATTGGTACAAAATGATAAAAAAGAATATATATATAAAAGAATTAAAAAGGTAAATTCTTCTCGGTACAGTGAACACAATTTCTCATAGAAAGAACTGGCTGTGTTGTCTACGTTTATTTAGAGTATACACATATATACGCACGATATATTTACAATTCTCGATTTTCTAAAAAAAAAAAAAAAATCAACGTGACAACGTCCGCTGCCGAATCGAATCAATTCGCAGGGAACAGAGAATCAACGCGGTGACAAAGAAAATACCAAGAAAAACATATCAATTACGAATCGACAAGTGGAACAAGCGGCGCGCGCGTTCGCGTCTATAGAAATCACCTGAATTAACCATACAATAACGCACGAAGAGACCGGAGCATCGAGTCCGGTCCCACGAAAAGGGGAACAACGTCGTTGATATATACGTGGGAATACCTCTTCGGAAAGAGCTCATCATCGTCGGCAATCAGCGCGTGCAGCTGCACCGTCATCGGAAATAAACGAAAGTAAGTCGAATAGGAAGATCTCTCGGTTCGATGGTGGGTGAAGAGAGAGAGAGAGAAAGAGAGAGAGAGACAAGGACAAGTACTCTAAAGAGAGTACAGCACGCGCAACCTCCGTGCATATCTTTTCTGTGTGAGTGATAATAGCAATGATGGAAACGACGCGACGACGACGACGACGACGACGACGACGAGGTGCAACGGCTGTTTTGCAATGTGAGCGCATCGTGATAATGGTGAGTAACGAACAGGCGGCAGAAGAAGCGGTGGCAGTAGCAGAGATGAGAGAAGAAGCAAAGGGGAAACGAAGAGCGACAGAGGATATATGCCAATGTGAATTTCAGGGAGGAGAAAGAGTCTAGGGAGAGAAACGCCAGGCGGGGAAGAGGAACGGGCAAAAACAAAGACAAACAATCGAGGGTGGGAGGGGGAGAGCAAATCGAGAAAAAGAGAAGCTTAAACTGGAGGGAGCAAGAAAAAGAAAACACCGGGTACACATGTGCATGTCGGTAGCCAGAAAGATAAAGGAATAAGAATGAGATACTATATATATATATATACTATATACTATATACTATATACTATATACTATATATACTATATATACTATATACATACTATATATACTATACTATATACATACATATATATATATATATGTACTCTTCTCGTTGAAATATTGGAAACGAGCATTCATTCAGGCTGGACATCGAACTCGCCGCGTTGTGTTTGAAACAAATACGCGCGACAAGAGAAAATGGAGAGAAAGAAAAAAAAAGTGGATGGCGAGTTAGACGTTGAAGCCGTATCCGGACGAGAGGCGGGCACAGGCAACGACTTGAACAGAGAACCCGCGAAAATCCGATATTCTGTGGCGGAATTAAATATCCTCTGACGTAAAATCGATGGACGCGGTCGGTACTGATTAATTTGCGGGTCCATGGTTTCGTAGATGGCGCGAAGATCGCGGAGTAGTGGTACACGGTCCGGCGACGATCGTTAAAAACACGTCCGTGTGCACGGAAGAATGCAATGATAACCGAGAGGAAGAGAGCGAACGGCCACGTTGGGATATCGCAGAGAAGAAGCGTGTATCAATTTCGAGAGATGAAAAGTCGAGCAGAGGCGGAAGAAGGTAGGTGGAATACAAATTACCGCGGGGCAGCTGCCCTCCTGTTTGCGATTTCAGTCGACTGGCGTGTGTATATACACGAGTCGACCGCGCATGCGCACTTTCTGTACGATGGGAGTGTGTTGGGGTTGAAGGAGAAAAACAAACCGACGAAAAAAGGGAAAAATAAATGCGCGAATGTAAGACTACGAGAGGACAGGAGGAGAGAGAAGGAAAGGCGAATCAAAGAAAAGCAGATAACCCAGCAAAGTAATTTCCTTTGGATGAGAGGAGTCCCCGAGAGAGCTAGACTCTCTTCGATAAAGCCGCGGCAAACGGTCTGGAGAAAATCAGACTAGAGAAAAAACACTGGCCGAACACCACCACTGTGTGGAGACATGTAGAAAATACCGAAACCTGAAGAAAAAGAACTGGCGCGTACTCTATATAGGGAGGAGGAAGAAACAGATTGAAAGAGAAAAAGACGAGACGAGAAGAACGAGAATGTAAAGGAGAAGCCAGAGAGGGAATCAGGGAGTGGTACAACAACGAACCATCAAGGAAGGGGAACGCGTAGAGGTTAGGGAGGGAGAGAAAGATAGAGAGAGTATGAAAAACGCGAGAAAGAGCGAGAACAAGACAAAGTCGAATGGCGCGGAGGGACGGGAGGGGGGGAAGAGAGGAGGAGAAGGATAAACGGAGGGTGAATGGGTGGGTGGAAGGGAGAAGAAACATGCCGGAGGACGATGAACTCTGGCGGTAGGCAGCTTCCGTCGCCTGGCAACGTCCTCCTCCCTTTTCCTCTTCCTCCTCACTCCCCGAGGCACCAAGCCGTTATGTCGTGGTATCGTACGTAGGCAATCCCCGTCATGAACGTAGTAGCCGTGTCATCGTCTTCGTCGGTGACGATCATGGTAGTCGTTGCTGTATTTTCACGTAGTCGTGACTCGCAGCTTGCGCTGCGTATTGATCGTACGGGATGCTGCTGCTACTGCTGCTGGCTGTTGCTGGTTGCTGGCTGCTCCAGCGCCAGCTAACAGTAAGCTTTAGCCACAGCCCTACACCGAGAACCAATAGGGGCCTCTCTCTCTCTCTCTTTCTCTCTCCCTTCTCCCCTCTCTTGACTTTCAATGCACTTGGTTTATACCCACCACTACGGATTCCCAAAAATGAAAGTAAACGTGATAAAGTAGATTGCGATCCTATATCTTTTTTTTTTTTTTTTTTTAGGTACCGTGCAAATTTCTGAACTGAACATTCACTAGAAAAACATAGGAAGACAATGACCAATATTTTTCCAGTTTCACCTGTTGAGGAACAAAGTAACGATTTGTATTTGAAAAAGGGAATGCGTGAGTTGAAAAATATTATTTTACATTACATCGAAATATTACACACGTGAGAAAATCTTGGCCACGATTTTACACAATATATCCACCACAGAGTCGAAACCCATCAGTCATGTAGCACATGCGCCGCATGTGTGCAAAATGTGAGCATGGAACCAATGACCCGCAGCTTCTGTCCATCAAACATCGAACCTTCATCTAATTATACCACAATCTTAAAATAACCTAACTTCATCATTAACTACACTACACCTATCATTTAGTACTAATACTATACGCTGGTACAAAAGAGGAAAGCGACATAACTATATTTCTTCCAATGTACGAGGCATGAATGCAAATCAATCACAAATATCGAGTATAACTATAATTTATCTGTATTTACTCTATGTAACTCTAATCACTCTCTACGACCAAAGTATCAATATACCGAAATATACGCTCTAGAGCATGTCAAAACAATATATAAGCTTTCGAAAGTGATTAAAAATATAGAAATAGAACATAAATACATTCACAATATTCTTATTGTCCGCCAATTACAGGAGGAAAGTGCGCGTTCATCGACACGTATACGTCGGTGCAGAAATGTCGGACGGCTATCAATGGTTGGAACACGTCGTGGCGTCTCGATGAAAATACCGACGAAAGGTGAATGGGTTGCAGTACGTGAAAATAGTTTCACTACACAAGGCTAGCTATGTCGTAAAGTCGGCCGTAGGCCGGGAAGAACCGATCGAGCCGAAAACGAAAGCAAACGCCAGGCCGTGACTGCCAAGTCCAACGAACCTGGCCACTTGGCAGCCCCCCCCCCCATCATCCGTATTCAAAAGTATCTTTAATACAACTGCAACTTGCCTAAACCTAAATCCACTTTAACCGAATTTTTTCAGTGAAATTTCTTCCTTATCTTCCATATTATGAGGACAGATTTCAAAGATGGATAATTCTAATCGGACGTGAGAAACACGTACATGAAACTGTTGTTTGATGCACAACGATGACTCACGGAGGGAGTAGATGCACAAGGGTGTAATTTATGCATGCACACCGATGGAACTAAGTTTATAAAGTATAATTTATAGGTTCCACGTGGAACTACTTTGACAGAATGACAATATAAAGCAAAGTTGTAAAATAGAATAGTGTTATTGGTAATTTATGAGGCGAGTTGCAAGTTGTAAACTGTGGGTACTACCGAGGACACTTTGTGGTACATCTCTTTACAAAGACATTTCAAGTGTCAAAAGACGGTACTTGATATTAATATAACAAATAATTAGTATCATTACTAATGAACATTAATAATGTAGACCAACAGAAAATACAGAAGGATTGGTAAACTCCAAGGCAAAGTGTAGCCAGGCAAATTAATCCAAAAATAGCTTCGCGAAAAAGAAAAGGAAGGATATGCGAAATTGCACAGCGTATCTGACAATGGTGCCTTCTCGTCAACGACTCTCGCGGAAAATATCCCAGACTGCGGAAGGAAGCAGTCCCTTTTTTTTCTTTCTTTGTGTGACCACTGAGACAATGAGCAATTTGTCGCGTAAAATGGCCGTATAGCCCGGTCACTTTGATGCGCCTCGACCTTTCGAGTCTGTCGATACATCTACGCACCACCGTAATGGAGAGAACTGAAAGTGCTCCCCATTCTCGTAGTCCAACTCGTATACACCGCGCTGCTTGGCCTATCTAACCGTTAACAAATGACCCCATCGCTCGGTTACATTCACCGGTTGACGAGAAAGAGAGAAATATAACGAGCGTTTCAGAAAGGAGAGGAACAGAGGACTTTCTGGACGTGACAGCATCGTAGTACCCCATAAATATTCCTAATGGGCGTCCTGTCGCGATGTTCAGAAACTGTAAAACGAGTGTGTCCTTATATTCTCCTCGTGGCCTCTACACCCCGATGATTAACTTCGTGGGATTAAGAGAACTGAAAACGATACAAGGACAAGGGGAAACAAAAAAGGAAAGAAAAACTTGCACGTAACGAGCGAATCGTTAGGAGCATCTGGATTTTCTGGAAATATGAATTGCACAAATTTTCTAATATGTGTGATTTTATATATATATATATATATAACAAAACAAAAGTATATTATCAAATGTGACTGAAGAAAGGTAAACCTCGATAGATCCAATCCTGCAATTACCTGGAAAGTATCTGACAATGAACGAAATAAACCTGCATAAAGACTTAACATAAAATAATTTCTACACTTTGATACATCATCTAAATCACTCTCCCTATCGAGCTGTTGAAAGTAATAATACAAAGTGTATCATTTCTTCGGAAATTAGATATTCTCCTCGTCGCCTTGAACGAAGAAGGAGAACCGTGAATCTCGAGGCAGCACTTACGTGCCAATTATCCTGGGCAACTGATGGAATGGCAGAAGGAAATCCTACGTAACGCGCGTGATCCAATGTGGGATGCAATAGTCTGCTTCATATACGACGAATCTGAAAACTCTATGAGCAGAAATTACTCGGAAGAAGATTGCATTCGCTGCACACCGCCTAATCTTCATCTCGTTGCCCCTACCACCTCCCTCGAAATTCCAATCCATAATCATACAATTAAATTTTAACGGACAGCGTGTGCAGTACGTGCTCACGGAACTATATTTGATACTCTATGGTGAACTAGAATAAACGTACGAATTGATTATAGTCGTTTGAATGATTGGGGAGATTAGGATTATTATCATTATTATTATTATGTTATATTTTCTCTTGGGATGTTAATCCTTAGTACTTTATA